GGGAGCAGAACAAAGTAGACTGCTAGAGCCTAGGCGGGGTGAGGGTAGGGCTGGATTGACTCCGCGGGAGTCAAGGCTCAAATATATGCACCCCTGCGGGGGTGGGAGCTGGGGTTAGATTGCCCAAGCAAGAGTCTGGAAGGTTTAGGCGGTGATGACTCCTGCATGAGAGGGTGAACTCCATTGGGCCTGAACTCCTGCGGGAGTTGAAGCTCGTTTTAGTCACTCCTGCGGGAGTAAAAGCTGAGGATTGAGGGCCTAAGCGGAAGGAAGAACATAGCGAAATGAGTGACGCTGAAAGAAAACAGTTAGCGGAGAACTCAACGCTGGAAAAGAAATTGAGGAAATAGAAGGAGATAAGGGGGGGAGATCAGAGAAGGGTAAAGGTAGCGGAAGCTTTCATGCTGTAAGGACGAAAGAAGGGGCAGATCAATCGAAAAGGAGTATATAAGAGTATATATGCATATATACAGTATTCGGAAAGGCACGAATAGCGTGTTTTTACGATTACTTATTTCGAACGAATACTTGAAAAATTATTCGTATTCGGGAGCAAGAAAAACATTATATCAAAAAGCAGCGTTTCCTCATGAGACCACAGTGCATGCCCGCGTGAGTGAGTGAGTGAGTGAGAGAGAGAGAGAGTTGCGGGGCGGAGGTAAAAGTTGTCTTCACAAGCTTCTCCACAGCAACAGACAGAAGGCTCGGCTGAGCGAAAAAAATACTTCACTGCATCACTATTTTTGTTAAATAGATTTTTGTACCTTAATTGGGTTCCAAATGCAGTTTGTAAACTTGTAGCACAGTTTAAGCGGAGTTTGATCTGGATATTGCATTATGCAGCATTATTGACATCTGCAATCGGGTGCTCTCTGTTTACGCAACGTTAGCTCTGTTAGCGCGGTAATTTAGACAATAGTCTGTTGACAGAGTAACGTTAACGTTCGTTTATAAAGGTTAAAACGATGCTTGTGCAGTTGTGTCGAATAGTATGCACTTATGGGAGTTATATGGTATGTCTAAATTACTGTCTTTTGCAGACAGCAAGATATATGCTATAGGCTAGTTAACCTTAGCATAGCTTCCCGTCACTTTTTATTAACTTGAAACTCCTCAAATACATTTGGGCACCATGAAAAAGAGTGAGACTGCTGCTGAGCCATTTCTTGGTCCTCCACCAGTCAAAAGAAAAAAAAACCTTCAGGTTCTTTGTGGAAGCATTTTACAGTCAGTGATGCTGCAGATAAAACAAAGTGATACTTTATAATGTGTGCAAAAGTGAAATCAGCAGAGGCAGATATATCAAACATCTGTCAACATCTTCTATGTATAATCATTCATTCATTTTTTTTCGGCTAAGTCCCTTTATCAATCTGGGGTTGCTACAGTGGAATGAACCACCAATTTATCCAGCATATGTTTTACACTGTGGCTGCCCTTCCAGCTGCTACCCATCACTGGGAAACATCCATACACTCTCTTTCACACACATACAATAGGGACAATTTAGCTTACCCAATTCACCTGTATTGCATGTGTTTGGACTGTGGTGGAAACCGGAGCACCCGGAGGATGCTATGTTCTGCTAAATCCTCCAACAGCACCAAACCATAAACACAGCCACATTCTGCCCCAGCAAGTCAGTTTCAAACATAAAAAAAAAAATTGTGTCTGTTTTGTGGCAGGCAGATGACAATAGCAGGGCTGTATCTTTTAGTATTATATAGAATACTTTTGTTCTGCCAGATCCCCCAGGCAGGGTTTTATTTAGATTTATTTAGTTAATTTTAGTTTTTGGAATTCTGTGCATTGGAAAGAAGTTCTTTCAGAAGAAGAACAGTTTTTTGAAGTATTATTTGTTTTTATTCTGTCTATTCAGTGTCCTTCAACAAGAATGGTGGTGGTGGGGTTCATAATATTCACAATGGTATTTTATCAGTTGTTGGTTTAACTATGGATGAGATAATGGCTTCTATGTTATTGGGTATGCAATGGTGACTCTTGCGAGAGTCGAAGCTCGGAGCGACCCCTGCGGGGTAGCAGTATAAGTCGGGATGAGGGAGGGGGTAGTGAAGGCTCTTAGTAGAGGTGGTAGTGAAGGGGTGGCCGTGGATGGGCTTGGGGTGACTCGCGAGAGTCAAAGCTCAGATTGGACCCCTGCGGGGGTCAGAGCATAGTGAGGGAAGGAGCATAGCAAGCTTGAAAGGAAAAAAGTAAGAGCATACATGCAACCTGCACAACATATGCATATACTCATTCGCTTGCACGTGCATATGCATACCTAAACTTACGCCTACACCTATATACATATCCACGTGCAAATATGCATGTATACGTGTGCATCCACACACCGTATCTGCGCGTGCAAATACACACGTACCCCTGCGCATTCATTTACAAAAGCACACGCACTCCAGCCTACGTAGGTTAGAGCTCGTACCCTTAGTTGGAGTTTGGTATTTAGCTCTTTAGTGCTAGCTGGGCTGTCTTGAAGTGGGATTGGTTGAGGCAAATGTAAGCTTTGATGGCATCAGAGGACCAGCGGCCTGGGGTCTGGATTTGGTGAGAGGATAGACCTTTGTGAGCTGCTGTGGTGGCTGCGCCGATTCTAGATAAATGGCTAGAATACAATTCGGGGGAAACGCCCCAAAGGCGAAGGTCTTCTTTCAGGTCTTTTTGAAACCAAAAACGGGTTACTGGACAGTTAGCGTTATCAGTAAAAAAAGTGGGGGATGTGGGTCAGACTGCTTTGATCTCCTTAAATGGAGAAAAGCTAGGAGAGTTTGGAATGGCTGTGTGGGGGAAAAAAATGTTAAATATGTAAATAAAATGCCCTTTGCTTGTCTGATCTGTTTTGCTTTGCTTAATAATAAAGGCGAGTGTTTCAGCATTCAGCAATGTTAAATCAGATATATTGGGGTGTATGGCGGGGTTGAATTTCGATTTGATAGCCATTTTTGATCACCTCAGGAAGCCAAAAAAAGCCAGAGTTAACATGGAAGCGAGAGGTATCCTTTGCGGAGTGTGCGTATGCATTTGCTAAAATGTTGAGTGTAATGTTGAGGGGGGGAGGGGGGTGATTTCTGGATACCTTTAATGAGGAGGGAGGTTTGAGCGTTAGAAATGGCTTCTGAGGTGGCCACGTGAATCAATTTATGAAAAAATTGGACCCCACTGAGGTAGCTTTTTATTGAGCCAGCCTGGATATTTTTGGCGGTATAAAGGTGGTAAATAAATGAGGTGATGGTAAGTAATGAAAAATCTGAGAATTGTATTTGGTAGAGGGTGTGGAAATGTTTGTATGATTTCCATGCTTTGAGATATGACTAAAGATTCCTTGGTGCGACAGCGTGAAGGATGAGGGATATGGAAGTTTCATGGAGGCGATGCAATGGGTGGTTTATGGCAATATCATTTGTGAATAATGTGGAACAGGTGTTGGATGCTGGTCTGCTTCTGGTGCCAAGAGCCTAAATTTCTGGAAAAGAAATCGAGAGAGAGAGAATCAGCAATTTGATATTTGCAACCTGAAACATGTCTAGCAGTCATAATGAATTGCTTTTTAGCTGACGTCCAAACGAGGCATCTTAGTAAGGGCATAATTGGAAGTGCGTGTGAGCGTCCTTTATTAATGCAATGAACAGTGGCTTCATTGTCGCAATGAACGAGAATACTAGAGGCGGACCATTCATCTCCCCATAGAAGCTCTGTTGCGACTATGGGGTAGAGTTCGAAAAGAGCAGATGATTGCTGATTTTTGGGTAGACTGAGCATCTGCGGGGGTCACGTTGAAGCGAACCAGTGACCTTGGTAAAAGCCGCCGAACCCGACTGAGGGGGCAGCGTCAGTGAATAAGTTAATATCCACCGGGGATGAAATTAGGTCGCTATAGAAAAAGGAACAGCTGTTCCATTAGTTAAGGAAGGAAATCCATAAGCTGAGTTCTTTGCGACTAGGTTTAGAAAGATATATGGTATCTTCTAAACCGGGGACCAAGGAGGAGAGCTGAAGGAGGTGTGTAATAAACGGGTGGCCTTGGGGAATTATGCGCATCGCAAAATTGAAATGCCCCAGAATAGATAGCATTTCGCGTTTAGTGCATGATTGTTTCTCAAGGAAAATTTGTGATAAGGAGATTATACGGTCGATTTTTTTTGGGAAGGTGTTGTGTTGTTGAATTCAATAATCATCAGACTTTAATCAGGTACTTAACTGTTTTATTAACAACTCTCAACTTAGTGCTTTCACGTCAGATCTCTAACTCTCGTCCTTCAAGTCTCGCTCTTCTCGCGATATCACTATACTACATCCCTCCCATCTTTAGTATTAAAGAACTTTAAATAACCCCAAAACACAAATTATCTTCACAAACTTAAACATCTTATCATGTTACTGTTACTCAACCTCTTTTAAGTCTAAACTAAATAAACAATCAGAAAACGGGGCCTATGTAAACATCTACATAATCATGCCCTTGAAACGAGCAGGTTTCTTAACCACTCTACCACTACGAGTAGTCACAGGCTTGTTAGTAGTCTCTGGTACTGTAACTGAGGAATTCTGTGACTGCTCTGAAACATCTGACTTCAACAATGTCTCTTGAGCTCCTTCATCACTCCAGTTTTCAGCAGAATCTGGCATGCTGATCTCCAATGGAACAGGTACATGGCGCAAGTGTTTCACATTTCTCACGATCCTGGATCCATCTTCTACATTGACAATTTCAAACGAACTGTCTGACGTATGCTTGAGCAATACATAGCGAGTGTCTCTATATTTCGAGTCTAGCTTTCCATCTTCCATACTTGCAACATATACTATGTCTCCCAACTTAAAGTTGTGTTCTTTAGCTCGATTTGTCATGTCTGCATACTGTTTCATTTTTTCTTTGTAGAGTTTATGATGACTTTCGATGTGTTTTGTATCTCGACTTTCGGTGAGGAGGCTAGGTAACTTTGTGCGAACATCTCGTCCGAACATCAGATTGGCTGGTGTCTCACCTGATGCTCTGTGTGGTGTTGAGCGATAAGCAAGAAGAATCTTCGATAATTCTTCTCTCCATTTTCTTCCTTCACTTTTAGCAGCTTTGAAGGCTTTCTTCAGATAGCGATGGAATCTTTCAATTTTACCATTACTTTTAGGATAGTACGGTGAAGCTTTGATGTGCTTAAGTCCACTAGTTTTCAGGAATGCTTCGAAGACTTTCCCCACAAATTGCTTGCCGTTATCCGTCACAACCTCCAAGGGATACCCAAATCGTGCAAAGATTTTCATCATTTCCTTGGTAATAGTCTCCGAAGTTATGTCATTTATGACTACTGCTTCAGGGTATGATGTGTAGTAGTCTATAACAGTGAGTAAATACACATTCTCGATAGGACCCACCAAATCAACACCTAATTTTGTCCAGGGCCTAGGTGGGAGTTCTAATGGGTGCAGCGGTTGATCTTCGTGCAAGGGTTGATTCAGTACACATGCATTACAATTTCTGATCATTCTTTCTACGTCCATGTTAGGCCAATAAAATTTGCTTCTTAAAAATTGCTTTGTGCGAACACTACGCTGATGTGTCTCATGTGCTATTTTCAGAGCTTGTTGAATATGTGCAGAGGGCAGAACTATTCTATTTCCTCGCAGCAAAAGGCCATCATAAGCTGATAGCTCGTCTGCGCACTGCTTGTATGGCTGTAAGGTTTTAGGTAGACTAGCAGGCCACTTTCCTGTCTCCACTATGGAAAGCAGTTGTGTCAACGTAGTGTCTGTCACTGTAGCACTTTTTAGTTCCTCCAGAGATAATGCTTGAACATCCATCATATTTACAGCAAGCACTCTGTCCATATACTCATCCACATAACTGTTGTCTTCCATCTCTGGTAACGGAAGTCTGGAAAGTGAGTCTGCAACATTGGCTTTACCTGCAATGTGTTCAATCTTATAGTCGAATGGACACAGTCTCAGTCCGAGTCTTTGTATTCTTGGAGGTAAAAGCTTTGATTTTTCTGGATTAAGCATATAAATGAGAGGTCGGTGATCTGTCTGAAGGGTAAATGTGCCACCCCATAAATATGCTCTAAAGTGTTCGACTGCCCATACACATCCTAGGGCTTCGCATTCTATCTGAGAGTAACGCCGTTCTGTAGGTGTCAGTGAGCGGCTTGCATATGCTACCGGTTTCTTTGTTCCATCTGCTTGGGTCTGAAGCAAAACTGCTCCCAGTCTAACTGGACTCGCATCACTTATCACAAATGTTTGTGCATTTATGTTAAAGTATGCCAGGCACGGTTCACTAACCAATTCCTTTTGTAGGCCTTTAAATGCATGTTCTGCTTCAGATGACCACTGCCACTCTTGTCCTTGTCTTGTGAGTTTTCTGAGAGGCTCTGACAAATTTGCATAATTAGGCACAAACTTCATCAAAAATCCACAAGTGCCTAAAAACGAACGTAACTGTGCTACATTTCTGGGTTTTGGAGCATTACCGATTGCTTCTACTTTCCGTGGATCTGGTTTTATTCCATCAGCTGAGACGACATGACCCAAAATCTCAATCTGTTTGAGTCCAAAGAAACACTTTTCCTTATTCAGTGTAAGTCCTTTCTCTTGAAGTCTTTGAAAAACTTTTCTCAGTCTTTGTTCCAACTCCTTTTCAGTTTCCGCAAACACTACCATGTCATCCATGTAGCACACCACACCTGGCATCCCACATAACATAGAATCCATGGCTTTCTGGTATGCTTCAGGAGCACTACACAATCCAAACGGTACCTTCTTAAAACGGTAGCATCCTCTGTGTGTGATGAATGTGGTCATTTGTCTGGATTCAGGTGCTAGATCGACTTGCTAAAAGCCTTTACGGGCATCCAGTTTAGCAAACACTTTTGCTCCCTGCATTGCTTGCAGTATATTATCTATTGTTGGTACTGGGTGTCTTTCTCGTACCACTGCTTTGTTCACTTCTCTTAGGTCAACACAAAGTCTCACTTCTTTAGTGTCCTTTTTTGGAATGAGAAGAATGTTGGAAACCCATTCAGATCCTTCATGCACTTCCTCTATTATTTTATCTTCCAGCATTTTATCTAGCTCCTGATTCACAGCCTCTATCATTAAATAAGGCACTCTTTGTAAAGCTTGAGCTACAGGTTTAACCTTTTCATTCACTGATATTTTATGGCTGTAACCTGTGATTTGTCCCAGTCCTTTAAACAAAGACTGATATTCATTCTCCAGTTTCAAAAATCTTTCAGATGAATTTTCAACTGGCCTGACCTGATCAGCAGAATTTAGAATCTTTAAATCAAAACAGGACTGTCTTCCCAGAAGTGGCTCTACGTTTCCTTTTATTACAAAAATGTCATCTTTTATGCCATTACAATTCCATTCTAGCTGGGCTTCAAAAAATCCAACACAGTGAAGGGGGTGTGTTTGTGCATATGCATAGAATTTTCTCTTTGTTTGTTTCAGCTCAACTTGTGCAAACAGTTTTTGATAGAGTTCTTCTCCAATGAAGTTTCTTCCACTTCCTGTATCTATAATCATCTTCTATTTTTGTCCATTAACTTTAATGGTCTCTTTTCCTTCTGAATCAACTGAATACACAAAGTCATCAGAATCAGAACTGTTCTTTACTGCTCTTACGGGTTTGTCTTTATGGTCCATCTTATCTTTAGATTTATTTCTGTGACTTTTGTCCTCTTTTGATTGTTTTTCTTTCTGCAAACTCGTGCATAATGACCCGTTTTTTTGCAGTACAGGCAGGTTGCAGATTTTGCACCACAGTCATCTGCTTTATGTGTTGTCAATCCACATCTGTAACACTTGGTTTTGCTGTTACTCTTTTCAGGTCGCACCCTGTTGGCATTTTGCTTCAATTTTGCGTCTGATGTTCTGGCAGCTTTCATAAAGTAAACTTGATTATCTTTTTCTTTAGCGCTGTTTTCTGAGAGCACTTTAGATTCAGCTTGGGCTGATTCACAGATTCTAGCAATAGTTAATGCTCTTTCCAGTGTAAGCCCTTCTTCTTGCAACAGTTTATCTCTTAACCGTCTAAGTGCACATTTCTCTACGAGTTGATCTCGTATCATGTCATTTTCTAAAGCGCCTAACTCGCATGATTTTGCCAGTTCCCTTAATGCATTCACAAATGCGTCAATTGTTTCATCATTTAGTTGAGATCTCAGTCTGAATTTGTGTCTTTCAAGCACAACATTTTTCCGTGGGGTAAAGTAAGTGTCCAGGGCAGCTACAGTTTCTGTAAATGTCTGTTTAGGTCCAGGGAGGTTTGCAAAAATCCTCTGCACAGGTGCACCAATGCAATGCAAAAATGTAGCACGTCTTACCACATCAGCAGCGTTGATAGTTCCGCTGGCCAGCTCAAAAAAACTGTAAGAGTCTTTCCATGTTTTGTATTCTGCATACAAATCCGAAGCTCCGAGGTTTAATGGAATAGGCGGTGATAACTGTGCCTGAGCCACATGTGCTGGCGGCGCTTGTGCCCCTGCAGCAGCGTCGTTTTCCATGTCAGGACCGCCTGTTTATCCTATCTTCCAAGATTAAATGATAATCCTAGTCGATCTGTAAAGTGTTCATCCTCGTCGCCATTTATGTTGTGTTGTTGAATTCAATAATCATCAGACTTTAATCAGGTACTTAACTGTTTTATTAACAACTCTCAACTTAGTGCTTCCATGTCTGATCTCTAACTCTCGTCCTTCAAGTCTCGCTCTTCTCGCGATATCACTATACTACAGAAGGGATGCTTGAAATTTATTCGAATCTAAGTTGATGCCCAGAAATTCTATGGAAGTGCTGGGACCGGCTGTTTTCTCCTCTGTGAGGGGGATGCCTAGATCTTCGAAAACCTTTTGGGTGATCGATAGGTGTTTAGCTGGGGGCGAAGAGGGTGGGGAAATGAGGAGAAAATCATCGAGGAGATGGATTTTCGTAGTTGTTAGATAAAATCCAGCATAATGCTTCTGAAAGCATATCGAAAATTTTGGGGCTACTTTTGCAGCCAAAAGTTAATCGGACTGCAAAGTAGAATTGTGAGCGCCAATAAATGCCAAAGAGGTGCCAGAAGTCTGGCTAAATTGGCATAATTTTAAAGGCGGATGAAATGTTGATTTATGCGAGCCAAGCGTTGCGACCGGCTATTCTGATGAGCAAAATTGCTTGGTCTATATGATGGTAATTCAGCGAGTATTTGTCTAATGGAATGGTGCTGTTAATGCTAGGAAATATAGAATTATGCGGAGCGGAGAGATCGATAATAAATCGTTTTTTGTTAGAGAATTTCCTAGTTGCTACACCGATAGGAGTAATACGAGAAATGCTGAAAGGTGGTGCAGGAAAAGGTCCTATTATGAATTTATTGTCAATTTCTTTTTTGATTAACGTATCAATAGTTTCGGGATCGGTAGTAGTGGATTGCAGATTAGGACAGAATAAGTTGAAGGTAGGGAGAGCTGAAACGCCCGGGTTCAATCTGTGGGTTAGACCTGAAATCAGAAAATCAGAGTATTATCAGCGTGACAGCGCAATTCAAAGGCAAGTCGAGAAACATTCACAGGAGTTGACAAGTATTTTTTTTTTATTCTTTGCTCTTAACACCTGGCAAATCACTTTGGTGTGAGCGCCTCTGCAGTAGCTGCATAAATGTACAAATTTGCAAGGAGCCGTGTAACACCTGCTGATAATGAAGTTTTGGCAGATAGGACGATTAGAGGAAGGAGATGGAGAGAGAAGAGAAGGCAGATTATCGCTGGGTAGACGGGGAACGTAACTAGTGGATTTAAGAGGTTGTGCAGAATCAGAGGAGAGAGTGATGAAGGGGCAGGATGTGGTGGGGTGAAGACTGGAGCGGCAGACTGCGCAAGATAAATTATGGCATCCTAAAAAGACTCGGTTTTGGAGTTCAAGATCTATGGCCCCCCAGTAAGAAATTTGGTTCCACTGAGTCAATCTGATAGCGCATTTAGCGGAGAACAATTTATGATACGTGTAGAAATGTGTACCCCCATAGGAGAGCGCTAGCTCGGCTATAATAGCCATGTAGTCATTCAGTTTGCGTCTCCTATGGGGGAAGACTGAGCAGATGACGTCAGTGAAGCAAGCGAAGGCTATGGAGAATTCGGCCAAAGATAAGGTGCGAGAATGGGTGTTGGATGGTGGTTTAAGTGCGACTGTTAAATCGCCGCAATTTACCTGGCGTTCTGCCGCCGGAGGTGTAATAGGTTAAAGGAGTGAAAAGAGATCTATATCTGCACCTGATAGGATTTGATTTCTTGTTGTATTGGAGACTGGAGGTGGTTCCATGGCTAGAGCGTTCTGAGGCGGAGGGAGGGGTGTGGCTGTGTAAAGAATGAATGGGGGCGTGGCGAAGAAACTGGTGTGGGGAGAGTAGGATGAGTGACAGGTTCAGTGTTGGTGTGAGCGAGGGGAAGGGAAGAGGGAGGGAGGAAAGTGGGTTGAGTTGAAAAGGTTGGAACTGAAGGCAGAGGGTAAGAGGTAGAGGGTTGAGGAGGGAAAGATTGGTTTAGAGGAAATGCAGGAGGAACAGAAGAGTTAGGGTGGAAATGAGAGGCTGAGGTAGAAGGCATGTGAGGACTGGTTTGGGCGCTAGAGGGAGCAGGCGGCCAGAAGAAGGGTGCGGATCCGGGTTGAGTGAGAGAGTGAGTGGCGTTGTTGGGATCCTGATTGGAGTCTTGCTGGAGGATTGAAGGTGACGTAATTTGGGGTTGCCGGCTTTCCTAAGGGTGTTGTTCTGAGGGGGTGTGGCTTGAGACGTGTTTTTGTTTTGATTTCCTTTTCCCGGTTTGTGAGCGGGGATGTTGTGTATAGGGAGTGTAGCGAGAACCGTTCTTCTGAGTGTTTGATCTGGCAGATGGGCTGAGCGAGGGGTGAGAGTCTGAAGTGGCGTAAGTGTATAATTTAAACAGTTCCGGTTTGTTGAGGTTTCGGGGAGCGTGAATGCCAAGATCGGCTAGGAGTTTCCTGAGTTCTGTGACTGTTATTCTTTTCAAAGGCTGGATGAAGGAGGAGGCGGAGGCGTAAGAAGAGGTAGGAGAAACATTATTTGTTCTGGATGTTGCTGGCGATGGTGATCTGTGGCAGGGTGGTCTGATGATAGCGGAGTGGGTAATTCTTCATCCTCTTGTTAGGTCTTCGTTTTGAGATTGAGGGTCTTGTGTTGCAAGCTGGTGTGTTGCCAGGGGGTAACGATGTTAGTGGGGAGGTCTTGAGGATTGTTCTCTTGGTTTTTAGTCATGTTGTTGTTGTTGTTGTTGTTGTTGTCGAAATTGCTCATGGTCTTGATGTTATTAGCGGAGTGGTGACTTGATAAGAGGTTGATGGTAATGGTGGTGAAAGTTGGTTTGCTGGCTGAATGGCTTGCTGGCTGGATGACTTGCCTGGCTGGACGGGTTGCTGGCTAGTTAGCTGCTTGCTGGTTAGCTGGCTTGCTGGTTAGCTGGCTTGCTGGTTAGCTGGTTAGCTGGCTTGCTGGTTAGCTGGCTTGCTGGTTAGCTGGCTTGCTGGCTTGCTTTCGCTCTTCAAAACAAAGATAGCAGTGGAATGAAACCCAAGGTATTTATAGTGGTTTAGGAGTCATCTGATTGGAGCGTAGTGAATTGGATAATGCGGATCCAGCCGCTAGCAATCATAAGCACGTGATCCTCTCGAAATATGTTTATACATAAACTTCACTTTAAAAAAATGCAAATGAGATGTTTTGACATGCCCTGACATTTGTGCTTATTTCAGCTGCTCATTACATAGTATTGACCAACATGTATTTTATTTGTATTCAGCACAAACTGTGCTACAATAATATGTGAGAAATACTGATGTACGTGCTTGCGTTTTTTAGGGAAAAAAAATAATGTGCGGTTAGTAAGTTTGGAGAAAAAATGTAGCTGAAATGAGGTTAAAAAAACTCACCAAATGTGCCTGAACAAGACTTTTGAGTAAGCAGTCTGGTAGACTAGAATATTTACTTCCAAATTATCTGAAAACTTTTCTGTTCTCTCATTCAAAGAAAAAAATACAACAATTAACAATTCGTTAAGTTTGTTTTGAGTGATCTCAGCTTTAACTTTAAACACTTTAGCTTTAAACACAAGAATAAATCCTATTTTTAACATAACCACAATTAATTAAAATCAAAATGTTATTTTCAGACCTTGTGTATAT